GAGAGTGTGGATGCATATTTTTTTAAAAAAATTAATTTTTAATTTTTATATTTATTTATTATTTATTTTGGTGCTTCGGCCCCCCAATTATCTGAGGGACAGCAACCTGGCCCCCAGCTCAAAAAGGTTGCCTACCCCTGCACCAAACCATTACTTACCACCACACACAGATATGCTTTAAATCTTTCCTTGAGACCCGGTTATAACCCTTACCTTACCTCCTCACCTAAGTCCCGCTTATCCCATCTTTAATAGCTACCGTCAATCCTTGACCTCTGTCCATCTCTTACTTGTCCATTTAATGAACTCTGATATGGAACAGGCTGCACCCAAGCCTGCTCTCCCTAGCTTATAGAAGAGCAAATTAATGCATAGCTCATTGGATTGTGTTTTAGTATGAAAACTTCATTGGGCATTTTAGGGTTTTCTTTGTCTGCTCACTCCTTTGGAGATGGAGAAGCTTTGGTCCTCCAGATGTTTTAAATTTCACTTCCTAGAAGCCCCAGCCAGTGGAGCACATAGTGAGGGATTATGGGCCTTGTAGTCCAAAAATCTGGAGAAGCAAAATTCTCCATTCTTTCTCTAGACACTGAAACATCACTCTTTGACAAAATCTGATAGTGGTGTGGTAAGCAGTCAGTTCTACCTCTATCCTCAAAGGCAGAATTGACTGCTTACCGTGCCAGTATCCTATGAAAAAGGGAATATGGAAGAGAAGAGGAATATCAGAAGTTATCAAATAAACCAGGGACAGGGTTTTCTTCTTAAAATATCCAATCCCATGAAAGTCATAAAATTACATGACGGATAACTTGTTTGCAGCTTCACCAATGACTTTTAAATTCCATTAAATAACTATTTAAGTGTACAGTCACCCCTCTATTTTCATGGACTTGGGAGTCTTCATCCCTCACCTATTCTCAGGTGGCAAATGGAGAGGGAGAAAATGGGGCATGCACCACCATTCAAACCTATGGGGCTTGAATATTGGCAATTTTCTGTTTTTGCGGGGGGCGGATGGAAAGGATCCCCCGCAAAAACAGAGAAGCGACTGTATATCTCTGTCTTTACTTCTAATAATCACACTTGGTTTGCTGAATAATGAATCAAGTTGAAATTGCTATGCTGTCCTAAGCACACTTACCAAGAGGAAAGTCTCAATTAATCTATATCTGCACAAAACTATTTAATTAGGGGATTATTCTGCAACTGAATTTTGGATGCAGTCAAAGTCTGAAAAGAGAGAAAACAGAATGGCACCTTAGCTTGAAGGCTAGGGGAAAATGCATGAATATGTATTTATTATGTTTTCCTGAGACATGCTGACAGTTTGTAAATTTTATATTCTCTTGAATTTTGTTGTTTTCAAAAAAGAGAAAAAAAGACAGAAGGAAGCAATGTTTCTTCCAGAGCTTATAACATGATTTTTAAAAATTAAGTTTTCTTATTATTATTTTGCCTTGAAGCATCTCCTAAAATGTGTAGCTTTCCTTATACTAAGAATTTTCTAATTCTACTGGGATTAACATTGAATGGGGAATCCTGGAGAGGCTTACCCCAACATGAGACATGGTCTGATAGATGGACCGTATTAAAAGGAAAGGACATCTCCACTTCAGTGCGTGCCTATGCTGAAAGAGCAATAACTTGTCCAAATGAAGCAAATAGAAAACAATAGCCTCAGTGTTACTTCCCACAGAGATCAGAATCTGTGATTCGAAACATGCATAAAATGCAAATAGGACACTTGTCTGGAAGCCAAGATCAGTAACTGGGAAGCCACATGTTTTGGAGACACATGGGCTTCTGCTGAATGACAGCTGGAGAGGCAGAGACAGGGAAAGGGGAGAAGGAGAGATGGAATGAGGTGAGGCAAAAACGCTATGAATATAGGCTACCATGTGTTGTTGTTTATTCTATCCACTCCAGTTTGCATACTGTCAGTAAGGTATGGTTTCTGGAATAAGTAGCTCTAAATAATGTTACCTGGCTTAGCATTTTTTGGTTTAAATATCGCATTCAAACACATACAAAGCTTTATGTGGACATTTCTTTTACTGGAATATTGGTAATAATGTAAAGAGAATAGCATATACATCCCTTATATTTAACCCCAAAAAATGGCTATATCAGAAAAAATATTTTTAGAACACATACCTAAAGAGAGTTATAACTGTATCAGCAGTTTAGCTCTCCTTTACTAAGGTATAACTTATATACCTGTAGCTTCACTCACTCACGTTACTGTCAGTTCCATTTCAAGTTGAGAAAACATTGATTCAGAATAACTAGTTGAATATTTTATTTCACTGAAGGATGCAGACAGGTGAATTATCACATTTTGTCTTGACTACTTGTGCTTGTGACTGATTGAGAAGCAGAGGATTTCCCCTCAATTTATAATACGAGAAAATTTCCTGCTTCTCAAACAGTCACAGGAACAAGTAGTCATCCTAAAATGATCACTGTATAAGTTTGGGAACACATATCACATCCTGAATCAAACACTAGGACCACTGATGCAGATTTTAAAGTGAAGGCCCTTTGGCTGCACTGCACTGATCTCAACACTATAGCTATCTGTACAACTATGCACATTCTAGTTACACCAGTTCCTTTTTAAAGTATGACTAGAACTTGATGGCATGTGTCAAGATTGCTCAGTATCAAAGCATAGTTTCAAAGCATCCACCTGTTTTATCCATTGGCATGTGAAGGCAAATTGATCTAAATCTGTGCTAGTGGCTAACCATTTTTTCCTCACTGCAAAAAGGAATGGGGTGCATATGGAGAGCAAAAAACAGACTTTAAGGGTTTGTCAGTTTTCTAGATCAACATACATGGTAAAACTCTGTCAGCTTCAGCAAATCTACTGGCTATGAATGACTACAATCTACAGCCCAGGGCAACGAATACACCCAACTTTAATTGCTTGTGCTCACACAATTCAAATAAATGCAAAGCAGGTCACATAGGAAATGTTCAAAACGCACTGCCAAATAATCTGAGATATGAGCAAATCATTTTGCATAACACTGACATCCAAAGTCTTTCACATTCCAGCTAGTGGGATTTGAAGGGGCTTAGTTTTAGTCTTGACCATGCCCACTGAATATTGAAGAAGATTCCTCCACCGTTGTTTTTAATGGCATATTAAATACTGCAAGTATGATCCAGCCAAAAGGATGCACTTTAAAACACCAGCAGCTTGACAGGGTGAGGTTTAACTCTTAGCTCTCCCATGGAACACTGAGGGCCTTTACAGACTGCCAGAAATAGTGCAACGTGAAGCCTCTTTAACTGCCCTGGCTCAGTGTGAAGGAAACATGGGAACTGTTGTTTATTGTGGCACCAGAGCTCTCTGACAGAGAAGGCTCAACGTCCCAGAAAAAAAATACAGTTCTCATGATTCCCTAGCAGTGAACCAGGGCAGTTAAAGTGGACTCAAGCTGCACTATTTCTGCAGTCTGTAAAGGCCCTGAGTCAACATTTCCTGAGTTCTGACCTTAGATTTTATTAGATAATCTAGTTCCTTTTTGCCTCTAGATACCTCTGAAGCCAGTGTGCTGTAGTGGTTTGAGCAGTGGACTAGGACACTGGGAAATCAGGGCTTGAATCCCAACAGGGCCATGGAAAGGCACTGGGTGACCTTGGGCAACTCCTAATCTCTCAACCTCAGAGGATGGCAATGGCAACCCTCCCCTGAAGAAACTTGCTCAGAACACCCTAGCATAAGTTCACCTTAGGGTGGGCACAAGTCAGAAACGACTTGAAAGCACCCAACAACTACAAGCCTCTCAAAACCTGTCTCCATTACTGCAGATTTCAAAGATATAGCCATGTTAGTCTGTAGACTCACTATGCAGAGAGAGATCTTGTAGCACCTTTGAGACTAACTGAAAGGAAGAAATTGGCAGCATGAGTGTTCATAAGACTTCAGTCTACTTCTTCAGATGCATTTAAATCACAATTAGATTTAAATGCATCTGAGGAAGTAGCCTGAAGTCTACGAAAGCTCATGCTGCCAATTTGTTTCTTTCAGTTAGGGCCTTTAAAGACTGCCAGAAATAGTGCAGCTTGAGGCCACTTTAACTGTCCTGGCTCAATGCTAAGGAATCAAGGGAATTGTATTTTTTTTTTCTGGGACACGGAGCCTTCTCTGTCAGGGAGCTCTGGTGCCACAATAAATTACATTTCCCATGATTCCTTAGCACTGAGCCAGAACAGTTCAAGTAGCCTGAAGTTGTACTATTTCTGGCAGTCTGTAAAGGCCCATAGGGCCTTTGCAGACTGCTAAAAATAGTACAAATTGAGTCCACTTGAAGGGTTAGGGTTAGGGAATCATGGGAACTGTATTTTATTGTGGCACCAGAGCTCTCTGACAGAGAAGGCTCAATGTCTCAGAAAAAAATACAATTCACATGATTCCTTATCACTAACCCTAACCCTTAAAGTGGACTCAATTTGCACTGTTTCTGGCA